AGTAGTAGTAGTAGTAGTAGTAGTAGTAGTAGTAGTAGTAGTAGTAGGAGTAGGAGTAGGAGTAGGAGTAGTAGTAGTAGTAGGAGGAGAAGTAGTAGTAGTAGAAGTAGTAGTAGTAGTAGCAGCAGCAGGAGTAGTAGTAGAAGATAGTAGTAGTGGTGGTTGTGGTGGTGGTGATGGTAGTGTCAATAGTATTAGCAAAAGCAGAAGAAGCGGCAGTAGTAGTAGCATGTAAGTGGGCAGGTGGTTCAAGGGCATATAGACCTATGAAGTGAGTATCGTTTGGTATCGTTTTGGTATCGGTCCAAACCCAAATTGTTTCCCATCGAAAAAAAAAGAAGGGAAGATGAGCAAAAGACAAAATGGAATGTCCAACTAGCGTGGCAAACCATATGCAAAAAATCATTGGACATACGCTGTCTCGAGTGTCAACGGTGTCAATAGGCAAAGATAGACTCCAAGATTTGTACCGTCACAAGGCTAGGTATCGTTTTGGGAATACAATCGTTTTTGTTCAAAGACAATGCAAATTTCCTCTGTTTTTTCAAGAAACGTGAGCGCTGACCTTTAGCACTTTGCTCAACTGTCCAAGCCTGCATAGGGTTGCCTCACCTTAGGACCTGCAAGCCAACAACATCATGGTCTCATCTCCTGTGGAAATGTAGTAGCAACTGTTTCGGCGTTTTATCTTGTTTGAGTAGTTTATCTATGCCTACCTTGTTACCAAGTTTGCAACTACGTACTCACCCTTCTGTGCCAAAAAGACCTGGTTGCACCATCAAAAAGTGTGTCCATTATAAAATTGTAAAGGCCCTACTTGAGTGCTTCAGTAGATTTGCCAGGGAACAACCCGCAAGAAGCGCGACTCCACAGTAGAGGGCTCCGAGGATGATCCCTCCGATTCCAGGGCCTCTCGGCAAAAATGGATATACACAGCACAATTCAATTCAATCTGAAAAAGAACGCGAAAGAATAGAAGAGTTGGAGGCCATCGCTATTAGGTTGGAGTGCGCCTATGCGGACCTCTCAAGTATCCGCGAATACTTTGAGAACTCGTGACAACTGATATTCCTTCCATCTTGATAGTCTGAATACTCTGGGGCCAAAAGGCAAATGGCCCGAAAACACCATGTTTTTACTATCTTTCTTCGTCACACTTCGAACATGCAACTTTGACCTAAACCACACAGTGTGGACACTTATCTCCGTGTCTTCTTTTTATAAATACTTGTTCTTTTGCTTGAATTCAAACAATATGCTCTCCGTTGCTCTTCTCAGTCCAGCCTTTTCGATGTCCGTCACCAAGCTTGACAAGACCTGGCCAGCAGTGAATGCTCCGGCCCAGAGAATGATAACGATACCTTCATAGATGTATAATATAGCAACATCTCGATTGTCGCATGAGAATTCAATGAACAAATCTTAGCAATGATCTATTGCTAGCGCTTGATTCACGGAATATTAGTTCGCTTCTTAAAACCAAAAAACAACTCATATCTCAACGATTCTCAACGTGTTCTCAAGCAGTCTCGCCTTCATCAACTCGCTGCGGACAATGTCCAGGTGCTGCCGGGCAGCCAAGGCCACTAAAATTTCCCCTGCAAGTTGAAAGGCATCGCCTTCGCCTCATATCGACAGAAACCATCGGGTTGTCGAGGTTGCTGAAAATGGATCCAATGAGTGTAGAAATCCTTTCACGGCATTTGCCTGACCCCCGGTCATCAGGGATCACAAAGTATGTCCAACTGTCCAACAAAAAACACGTTCTCAAAATTTGAAAACAGCCGTCAATGGTTACCTTCTCGATCACCAAGAAACCTCAACAAAGTGATGCTAACTTTTGCTAGCTCCCAGTATCCCAAATCATCTCACACAAAAAGCAGACTCACAATCGGAACAGTGGAACCCTTGGAACCATGCTTGGACGTCGCGTCCGCTCAAGCATGCAGCATGCTTCAAATCTCCGGACCATTGTCCATGCAAGTTGGTCGGCCATGTGCTAGTCATTGAAGCAAACTGGGGTGCAATAAGTCAACAGAGTCCAACCTAATAGCGATGGCCCCCAACTTAATAGCTTACTATGGCACTACTACGGAGTACGGTTTCTTGCTTGCTTGCTCTCTCGATCCCCGCTTCCTCTCTCTCTCTCTCTGCACACTACAGTGCGCACGATCCTCCATACATTTAAAGAATTATCTAGAATCTCAGCGTGGTGGCATGGCGGGTTTTTTCTGAGCTGCGCCGATACGCCGATATCTGGGGGGAGTGCGGCGCAGATTTGGAACCCGCGGTGCCGGCACAATGTAGAATCTAGAATCCCGTTGCTACCGACTATAGAAGTTCTCCCCCTCATTTTATCCATAAATTGGTTAAACAATGTTCAATAAACTGACTTTCACACAGTTAATCTATATACTCGGAAAAAGTGAAACAGAAAATAACTTTCTCACAATGTTATCTAAAACAACTGGCTAATTTGACAAGTTTGCAAATCTGCCACTGCCGACCATTTCATTTAAGATATTTAAGACCCATTTTAGATAACCTGTAAACTAAATGAGTCAAATAGACTTATTTTTCCGTGGTGGACCACACTCATTTTAGAAAGCTGGTAGCAACAAGGGTTATCTATATAGATAAAATTAGATAAATCTACCTGTCTTTTTGTTTTGCCAGCAAAATCACAACATGGACATCAAGTGTAGAGAAATGGCAATCGCCATTTAGATCTACAGAGTTGCTGTCCTGCTTTTAAATCCCTGCCGAGCGACTGCTGGATCCATGACCACTGCCGGCATGACATAAGAAGTGGCACAAGGCCAGCACACTTTCTTGAGAGAGTGACATGTGCATGTCCTCGCGCAGGCTTGTTTGATGGGCCTGGAGGGGGTGAAGGTTGACTGGAGGTTAACAACTGTTAACATGTCCAGAAGTCGTCCAAGCAGTCCCCAGATTGGACTTCTTGACCGAAAGGTGCACTGTGGATGACAGCTCTTGAACATGTATAGCGGTCGTAGCCATGCAGGCTTATATTAGTCACAAAGCGTCATTTCCCGATGTTAATGTTCTGTGTTGTTTTCCTATGCTTTAGGTCAAGCTCATACAACTTGCAGATTCGAACACTTGGCAAATAAATAAGTACATAATTGGTTGTCATAATGGATATATAGACTGCAGTCATGCAAAAGAGATTGCTGCATATTGCTGCTAGGTTGATCTGACGTTCGACCTCTGACCGAGTCATGTTTTGGGACTTCGTGTTTGTTCTGACTATATGTATACGTTGCAAATAAAATTCCAAGCTTTCGCACCCCGTCAACATCCTTTTCCATCACCAACCCTCAGTGCCCAGTACCTGGGCTATTTACCTGTGCATCGTGGGTTGGAACAAGAAACATCAATGAATTATCAATAGACTATTGCACTCAAATTCAACTCTTGTGAATGTGGTTTGGTTCCTGATTATCTGTATACTTAGGACCCCTTCAGTTTGATGCTCTGTTCTTTTTTCGAGAATGATGCCATTGCAGAGTTCTGCCAAGCATAGCTCAAACATTGGCATACTGGATACTTGACCTGGACCCCAACAAACCCGAAAAATCGTAGGGCAATGGACATTGCCTGCAGTGCAAGACTTGGAGGATTCTGATCCAAAACCACAAAACTGGGCCGGAGTCGTACCCCAACTTTCATCAACGTTCCCTTCTCAGTCAATATAGTCAACCCGTGTGTCAGCAAATATTCTGGGGACAACAAATGAAACAATCAAGCTCACAACGCCCAACCCTTCACCTTAATGATCTTCGTCCATCTCTGCACGCCCGGCACAGGAGCAGCTTCAACGGGCGCTGGCGAGGTGGATGGCACGCTCGAACTAGAGGCCCTGCTTGACACAGCAACTGCAGTTGCGGCTGCGGGCACGGCGGCCGGCGCAGCCTCGCTGGGCACCGATCCTGCATTTTAAGGCAATCTGCTCCGTTGCTCAGATCATAGCATATAACCAAATAACACGACTTCCTACTTGAAAAACAGACATGTTTGAGATGCCCTACCCAGCAGCTCTGCCTGTCGCTCCGCTTGTCGCTCCGCCTGTCGCTCCACTTGTCGGATTCTCAGGCCGCTGTGTTGCATCCGCCATAGGGACATCACCGCTCGCGTCTTTGGCAGAGCTTCCTTGGCAGTAGATTCATTAGATGTCATAGTTTCTTGGGAGCTTACCGTATACAAATGACGGTAGAGACAGGAGGTTCTCCGAAGAATTCAATAGGTTGTGTCCAGCTTGGATAGTGAATTTTCGCAGGGCCACCAGTGAGAAGCCTGCACACTGATGTTTGAATGGGTATCTTAAGCATCAAGTTGCGCGAACAAATTTCAAGTATGTTCGCGCATGTTGAGTCTTTGCAAAGGCTCTCAATGATGAGCTTTCTGTGGGGCATGTATGCAAACTGCTTGTCATTCTGTTATGATTCTCGGGCATGCGCGAAAAAAATGCATGTGGACGCGCTCGAAACCCTATGTTTTGCGATGGGAAAAAGTAGTTGGTGCGTTTTCACGGTTAAAACCCGTATATCCTGAGAGTGTCCGAAATGAGGTCCGAAATGAGCCGCATAGTTTGTGTCTTTTTCACAGCGACTGCCACCCCCCAACCCTTCCATTTCCCCCTCCCCCCACCCCAATTTAATCACATTGTCATCCGATGACAATGTTGTGAAACCGATGCCAATGTTATGAAGCCGATGATCATGTTATGACACCGATGATCATGTTGTGGTACCGATGATCATGTTATGAAACCGATGACAATGTTGTGAAACCGATGATCTTGTTATGCAACCGATGATCATGTTATGAGGCGGATGATGGGCGCCCCCCACCACAATTTAATCACAGTGTCATCCAATGACAATGTTATGAAGCCGATGACAATGTTGTGAAACCGATGACAATGCTATGAAACCGATGATCATGTTATGAAACCGAGGATCACGCTGTGATACCCAAAATAATGCTATGAAGATGATACCTTCCCGGAGAACCCCCCGTCTCTTGGGACAAATGAAGAAAAGGATTTTCACACGTCTTGCAAGCACAACAAAACAGAGAACGGTTGCTCAAGTTGATCGGCACTGATCATTTCTGCAATTGCACCGGTGACTCCACAAGTGCTTTTCTGTTTTTTTGCTATGTTTATACAGTATAAGTTAGATTCTTTTGAGCGTTGAATTCTAAACCACCCAGCTAGCTGGACGTACAATCGAATTGAATACCTTCGAACTCCAGGCTCCTTCTGGCTGTGGCACCAGCAGCGCATGAAGAACAGATAGCAACCATGCAGCATGTCGAGATGAAGACAAATACAGTCTTGTGTTCACCAACTGCATGAGCAAGTTCACCGAACAAATGCCTGGGTGGGCGACAGGCAGTCTTGCGGCATCCTGAACACCAAATGTTATTTGCGACCTTGGACAAGCACCCTGGACTACATCTGACCCCAAGTAGAATCAATTCCTACCAGGGCCACTAGAAAGAATAACACATCAACAGCGCGGAACATAACTTGGAGCAAAAAAAGCCCATGGCTTTCGGAACACTTTGGTGAGGATTCCATACTAATCTCCTCCTAATGGGGACATGTTCCATCTGTGAAGTTAGTACTCAGGAGTGACCTTGAAAGTTTGCAAAAGCAGCATAAGAATCCACCAATAAGAATAGCCCCCTTGAAATCTCAAGCCCACTGCCCCTTACTCAGACATTTTGGAACACATCAGCAGGCCTCCTTCAACCTTGGACATGAGCAGTCCCAACACACCCTGCTTCTGGCTTGCTTGCTTGGATGCCTGGAAGCTGCGCGATGGGAAGATTGCCAGGCATCAAGACCTGATCAACCCGGGCCTTTTTGCTGCGATCTGGTGAGAGCTTGGGCGATTGAAAGCCTCAGACTGGATTGAACAGTCCGGGAGTCCTTTGTGTGTAAGGCCACTGGAAAGCAGCTAGCTCAAGTAGCAGTAGCTTAAGTAGCTTACTTAGCTTAAGCAGCTAGCTTAGTAGGTAACGGTATAGCCAAGTAAGAGCTTTTCATGTTTGGGGAAATCCTGTTGCACATACCAAGCCATGTCCGTCTTCAAAATGGCGCCTTGACAAAAAGTTGGTCAAGAGGCATGATTCATTATTCATATCTTGATTCATTATTGTGTTGTCATGATTCATATCCATCTCTTGCCGAGGAACCGCTCATCCATGCTTCATGTGCAAGCTTCCGTGCAAAGAACTCTCCACACTGCGGTACCCGGCGGAGCAAATATGCCAAAATGGCCAGTATCCTCTGAGAGCCAACAGACTGCACCTCCAGAGGACTTCTGTAGGCTTTCCCATCCGAGGCTTCAAATAAGCATGGAGGTGGCAGGGCATCCATGGGAGCATCTGCTTCTGTGCGTTTACCTCACAAGGCCAAGAGACAGTCGGTATACCCGAAGACGACCCTTTCTACTTGCCTGTAAACGTCTGCACCAAACAGATTGTGCAATGCGTTTGAACTAGAATCAGTGAGGCATACTATACTAGCATAGAAAGACTATACATACAAGTTGCACAGCAGAATCAAGAAGTGGCCCAGCAGAGCACTCCGCGTCCTGACAAAAGGGCAGGTCCCTCAACTCCAAGGAACATGTTTAAAAAGAAAGTACAACTGTCACAGAATGTTACAAAAGCAGTTTTGGCGGTCAATCCCACCCTGCAGATATCCAATGGTATCCAAGGCATCTGTACTTAAGGAGTGACAAGTTGACAAGTGGAAACTGTCGAAGACGCGCTGAATCTGCACTAGGCGTCGTTGGATGAAGAGACAGGTTGAAGCAAAGCCGAGTCATTGGAATCGTCGAGACTTCGGTTCTCAGGTACAACAAACCTTGGCATGCCAATACACTCAAACTCATACAGCTGCTCTGGTTGCCAAACGAGAATACATCAAACTGAGTACTTTTGCAAATGAAGCAGTAACAAAAAAAAGACTAAAGAAGGGATCACCCCTGGCCATTCTAGCAGTTCGGCTACATGCGCAGCAAGCAGCACAGATTGGCACCTTTGACAACCATCAGTATCCAGTAGTATAGAGCATCTGCAACATTGCAGGGCCATCTACAGTATATAGTGAGTCACAACAGCCAACACCTCCGTCGCCTTGTCTTGATAGCCTTCCTTGTCAGCACCAACTTGTGTTTTAGGCGGTCTGCAGTTCTGCCCAAACCATCCACCTGAAACCCATGGAGCATTACGGAGCCCAGCTAATTTGATGCAGTAATTATTTGCTCGTCCAAGGTCCACACGGCACACGCTTGGAATGACGCTGGGCGAGATGGGCACCTCCTCAGATCGCCGAGAATGGATTGCTTGGCCACAAACATTCAATCATGATCAGCCACAAACATCCAAAGCTGCTAGATATTGAGCAGAATGCAACTTAACTACCCTGGACTAACTACTGATGGTGACGCTGGCTCCCAGGGTTCCCGTGCCACACCCTCATCCAAGTCAGTGTGGCGCAACCTTGGCAATGGTTGGAATTGGCTGCAGCCTGCATGGTATCAGTCTTAATCAGACTCCTCGATGCAAGGTCGCTTAAGGAATCACATGGAATCACACAATTGTGCGAGCGTAGGGAAGGGACTTGGTGAAGCTGTGTGAAGCCTAATGTCCGCACGGCAAATTCCACTGCCTCTTCAACATCTGAATCTTCTATGTTTTGACTCAGTGGCATCTGTCATCTTCACACGACCATTGGCATAAAAAGATTAGAAAGGCTCCAAATAAAGACAGGTCAATCTCCGGGCATCGTCCCTATTCACCACCATCCAGTG